AAAGTCGGTCTGGGATGGAGCCTGAGACTCTGCATTTCTAACTGGTCCCCGGGTGAAGATGACGCTGCAGGTCCACAAACTGGTACTTGGAGTCACAAGGGTCTAGAGCAGAGAGTAGCAGACTTGTTCTGTGAAGGATGAAAATATTTGAGACTGCAAGTCCTACAGCCTCTGCTGTGACTACTCAACTTTGCCTTTGTGAATTCTCGATTCTGCCATTATAACACAATAACAAACTTAGATAATGCATTAAAAATAGGTGTGGCTGGACTTCAAAAACCTTTATTTACAAAAACAAAAGGCTTGCTGGATTTGGCCTGCAGGCTATAGTTTGCCCACCCCTGCTCTAAATATCTCTATTCCTGGAAGAGTTTTACGCCTGTATTGAAAATGTGTTGGCCGGGTTGTGTGAGGGGTACTATCCAGTCGAGATTTCAGGTTCTTAACCCCAAAGACGGTCACCACCACTCCCTACTGAACTGTTCCCATTCATTTAAACTATACTGGGAATCAGTCTGACATCAGGTTTCGAGAAAGGGGTAGAGAATTGGAAGTAATATTACTAACACTCACATAGTGTTTATGTTCCAGGCACTGTTCTAAGTTCTTTGTGTATATTAACTATTTAACCCTCACAACAACCTTATGAGGAGGCACCATTATCGTCTCCACTTTACAGATGAGGAGACTAAGGTTAGTTAAGTAATTTGCCTGGAGTTGCACCAACAGTAATCAGCAGATTCAGGTAGGCCAGTGACAGACTCCCTCCTCTTTATTGCCTCATTATACTACTTCCGAAGAGAAGAAGCAGCTGGTACCATTAGTTGGGGTCAATGGATGGAGGGGGAAAATGAGTGACATGGAGAAAGATGCAAAATCAGGAAGCTGAAAGTTAAATTATTTTCTGTTGTCTAATTTGCTGAGACCAGACCCTGTTAGTGGGAGTTTGCTTACATTCTATTTTGTTATGCATTAAATTTCTTTAATGATGGTATATGACTATTATTTTCCAAGCATCAGAATAGAAATAAACCAAACATCAGTAATTCCCGCATTCAGTTGTAATCCGAGCTACCTCTCTTTTGCTAAAGTGCTTTAAATGCACACTACCCTTAAAACAAAGTGTCAGGCAGAGCTTGGAAGAGTGAGTTTTCCAAGCAGTTTAGCTGGGCAATTTGAAAACTTTTACGTGCCATGTTCAATGCCCTCTTCCCAACCTGGGAAAACAGGACTTCAAGTGTACCTCCCTATGTCAAGACCAGCCATAGAGTGTGCTGTCAAAGTTTTCTGTTGAGGCAAGTCTTCTTGTTGAGACTTCTTTATATGTAAAAATAAAACCCAGGCCATATCTGTTTGTATAGATCAGAGATTCCCAACCTCAGCATTATTGAGATTTTGGACCAGATAATTCTTTGTTGTGGGGAGCTGCTATCTGTGCATTGAAGGATGTCTAGCAGCATCCTGTCTACTATTCACTAGAAGCCAGTAGCATCACGCCAGTATGTGACAATCAAAAATGTCTCCAGACGTTGCTGTTATCCACTGGGAAGTCACAATCACCCTCAGCTGAAAACCACAGGACAGATCAATGATAGTTTTCAATTCAAGAATGCCCACCACCATCTGTTTGTGGGGGTATATATTGGCATAAACCTTTTGAAGAGTGGTTTTGAAAGTAGGCTTTGGAAAGCAATTATTAAAATATTCAAAATATTTGCATTGGGAAGGAAAGGGAAAGGATTTATTATTTATAGCCCAGGAAATGTAAAAGAGTCATTAGGAATAAAGGTTTGACAATCTATAAGACTTTATTTCCCCTGAATGATAGGCACAGATCTGGTAGCTGCCGGCTCCCAACAATCCCTGAAGCAACCGTGTGCATGAGAAGCCCTTGGGTAATTGATCTGAGGTGTGGGCATCTGGCTTAACAGGCTTAGTCTACCTATTATTTCCCCGACTACAGTGATTGGTCCAAGGGTGAGCCAAAGCGGTAAAGATGGGAGCCCAGCATCCGATAGCCATCCCCGCAACCTAGTGAAGACGCTGTTCTGAGAAAACGAAGCCAGTAAGTAGAGAGCAGTATGCGTGAGAGGCACAAAGAATCTTTGCGATTGGAACATCGTGGAATCTGGTCATCCCTGTGGCCAACTCCAACCAGGACATTCCCGTGGTTTCATTATGTGAGCCAATTTATTCAAGCTAATTCATGTTGGATTTTTGTCTCTTGCAACCATTGGGTTTTGACGAAGACACCTTAGCAAAGATGTAAAGAGAATCCACGTAATGACCAGGAGCACCGGTAAAATGTTGACTCACCAATGTCCTAAGGAAAGAATCCGTGGGCAAACCAGACGGATGCACAGTCACCTATTTTGTAAATTCTGGTGTGGCTCTAGAAAATTCTCAACACATATGGCTGCTTCTTCCCATCTACAGATAGCCACCACAAGAGCTTCCATTGGTTCAAAGGATTTATACTTCCCAAAGCTTTCACATTCGTTATCTCATTTCCACCATAACTCAATCAGACAGGGAAGGAGATTTTTAGCATCCCTGTTTCCAGGTGAGAAAATGGGGCCACCATGTGGCTAAATGACTTTTTTATGTAATGCAGGGGTTTGGAACAAGATAAGCAGTTCTCAAATTCAATCGATCATGAACTGTGTCATGACTGATTTGATGCTAGTGATTAAAACAGCGGAGCTGGAGAATGACTCATCTTTTTTTAAATAATACCTTATCCCTATAACAACCTAATTCTCGTCTGCATTCAATGTGCTTTCCTAAGTAGGAGAAAAGGAGTGGAGTTACAGCTGGCATATTGGGAATTTCATGGGAGTGTTATGCATGTGAATATCCAACCATGTGCGTCCCAACAGAGAAAAAACAACAAAAAAAGTTGAGAGTCAACGGATTAGCCAGGCCTGGAAGTTGCTTCCAGCTCTAAAATTGGATGATTCACCCAAAATAAATGAGTTAATGGCATTCAAGATCAAAACAAACCACTTTCCCTTGTCCACAGATCTTATTAAGGATCACTCACTTCAAAGAGTGGTACATTGATCATAAAATGTATCATCCAAACCAAGACAGTTTTAAGAGAAAAAGGGACAATGGAATGGACATCAGGGCAATAGAGTAAACAGGAATTGCGTTGAACAAACCAGGACTTGAATCACCCTAAGTATATGTAAGTCAAGAAAAGTACATTTATGTAACTGGAAACCACCAGACCTGCCCCAAGGAACGTCACTCTAAAGGCAAGTTGGATGTGTCTTGGTTTCAGTTCCCCCAAAAGCAGACTTTATGACAAAGATTTCGGTGCAAGCAGTTTATTGAGGAAGTGAAGGAGAGTGGGAAAGTGAGGCAGGGACAGAAAGGCGGCCAGTAAGAGTGTGTCCTCAAGCCAGCAACCGCTGAGGCCAACTGGAAAGGGATCCCTGAGGCGGTCACAGATGTGCCGCCCACATTCCCCCTTGAGGAAGGACTTGCTGTCCACCTGCAGGGAGTGGGGTCAGCAGATGGCCCCCAGCTGTCAGCTCCTTCAGGGTCTGCTTTAGGGGCAGAGAGACGCCTAGCTCAAGGTAACGTCCTTCCCAGAGCAGTCTGCACTGCTGACCGAGCAAGGCCAGGCTATAAATCTGCCCATTTCCTCCAGATGCGGGACAGGCTGATGGGCAATCCTCGCTCCAGAGCTTCCCTCTGGGTTGGCCAAGCCTTTGTCAAGCTACTATTGCAACCAGACTTTTCTTTTCAGAGGGGCTGAATCCCAAACCCCATATAAGCATCTGCTTCCAGAGAACCTATCCCAAAATCATCCCTATAGGGAAACTCAGTGTATTAATCATGTTTTTTTATTTTCTGTATTGTACGATATTTTGACATCTTGGGGGACCTTTCAGATCTGAGGAGAGACTGCCCCTACAGGGCTAGCTAATTCCTAGGGGCGGTGGACTGCTTGCCTGGAACATGTCTAGGCACGCACAGACCACCTGATCCAGTGCCATGACCTCACCCACCTGCTTAGCTAACACACACTAAGCCAATATTTCCTCTGCCCTAATCACCCCAGAATCAGGTCCTGGACAGCTGAGGACAGCTCCTATGCCCCAGAGCCCACTGGAATTATTCAAAGGAGCCAATCCTAAATTGCTCGTCCTGCCTCTTCCTTCCTGCAGAAGCTCAGTAAAGGCTCTCGCTTAGGCTTTCCTCTTATTCCTGCTTCTGCCTACTGATCAAAACCTGATGCTTCCCCTGTGGCCCTGCATGGCATGGTGTGTCCCCTTCTCTTGGGAATGTAAGTAATAAACAGTTATTCAATGTCATTGGCTTCTCCCTGTCATCACTCAATCACTGAATGCCTATAATACCTTTATTTGTAATTACTGAAAGCAACCAAGATGTCCTTCAAAAGGTGAACAAACAAGTAAAAGAAGCCAGTCTGAAAAGGCTAAAGGCACGACATTCTGGAAAATACAAAACTATAGTCAAAAGTAAAAGGGATTCTAGTAAAAAGAGACAGGAATAGATCAGTGGTTGGCAGCACTTTGGAGGAGGGAGGGAGGGATGAATAAGTGAAGAACAGAGGATCTCCAGGGCAATGAAACTACTTTGTACGATACTATAATGATGGATATAGGACATTACATATTCGTCAAAACCCATACAACTGTACAGCATAAAGAACAGACCCTAATGTAAACTAGGGACTTTAGTTAATAATAATGTATCAATATTGGTTCACCAATTGTAACAAATATATCATACTAACATATGATGTTTCTAAGAGGAGAAACTGTGACCAGAAGAAGGGGGTATATGGCAACTCTGTACTATCTGCTGAATTTTTTGTAAACCTAAAACTGTTCTAAAACCAAAACAAAACAAAACAGTATGTGAAAGAAGAAAGATAGGGGGAAAAATGGATGGATGTTCCGGAACAGTTGTATCTGGGCTCAGACAAGAAGCGGGAAATGGAAACTTTCAAAAAAAAAAAAAAGGGCTTCCCTGGTGGCACAGTGGTTGAGAATCTGCCTGCCAATGCAGGGGACATGGGTTCAAGCCCTGGTCTGGGAAGATCCCACATGCTGCGGAGCAACTAGGCCCGTGAGCCACAACTACTGAGCCTGCGCGTCTGGAGCCTGTGCTCCACAACAAGAGAGGCCGCGATAGTGAGAGGCCCACGTACCGCGATGAAGAGTGGCCCCCGCTTGCCACAATTAGAGAAAGCCCTTGCACAGAAACGAAGACCCAACACAGCAAAAATAAATAAATTAATTAATAAACTCCTACCCCCAACATCTAAAACAAAAAACAAAAAAACAGACGTAACCCACTAGAAACCACTTCACACCCATTAGGATTGTTATAATTTAAACACACACAGAATAACAAGTGTTAGTGAGGAAGTGGAGAAATTGGAACTCTCTTACATTGCCAGTGGGAATGTAAAATGGTGTAACCACTTTGGAAAACAGGTGATTCCCATATGACCTAGCAATCCCGCTCCTGGGTATACACCCAAGGGGACTGAAAATGAGGACTTGAACAGATACTTGTATTCCAAAGTTCACTGCAACATTATTCACAACAGCCAAAACGTAGAAACAACCAAGGTGTCTGTCCATGGATGAATGGATAACCAAAATGTGGTGTATGCATACACCCATGGAATATTCTTCAGCCACAAAAAAGGAAGTACATGCTACAACGTGGATGAAACTTAAAATTATCCTGGTAAATGAAAGAAGCTAGATAGGTTAGGTCACATATATGGAATGATTCCATTTATATGAAATATATAGAATAGGTAAATCCATAGAGACAGAAAGTAGTTTAGTGCTTGCCAGGAACTAGGAAGGGGGGGAATAGGGAGTAACTGCTAACAGATTCAGGGTTCTTTTGGGGTGATGGAAAACAGTTCTGGAATTAGATAGTGGTGACGGTTGCTTAACATAGTGAATATACTAAAAACCACTGGATTGTTCACTTTAAAAGGATGAATTTTATATTATGCAAATAGTATCTTAATTTAAACGCACATAAATAACACAAGTGCCAAACGCGCTCCTCCTTTGCTAAGATCTACGTGAAAATGGAGCTCCCTAGAAGTAACCTACTTACGGGTAATGCTGATCTATTCAATGTCAAGAATTTGTTTTTCAAAGGCTAGACTTTTTCATTTCTAGTTAGTGGTTTATTAAATAAAACTATTGTGCTTATTCTCTGCTTAAGGAGAAAATATTACAGCAAAAAAAAATCCGGATACCTACATGCTTGTGACCCATCATTAAATAATTTCTTTCTGATTCATGGGATGTAAAGCAGTCACTCAATTTCTAGCATCTGAGATTCCTGGGGAACCCCAGTTTCCAACATTGCTTGTAATTCTTTTCTCAATAGGGGTGTTATTGAGAACAGTTTCCCAGGACACCTACAAGCAAAGATTGGGTTCATAAACAGACTGCATTTGAATTTCCACTGGGTGTTCTGAGATGCACAGAGCCTGCTGGGTATACATTTTAAAACACCATCTCTAGATCTAGCTTTAGTCTCTGCCTCCCAGCTTATGCTCATGAAAATGAGTACATCCACGTGACAGAGGTTTCAAGGGCAACTTTGACCTTACAAAACACACAATCCCAGTATGTTGGTAGATTTCTAACTGGTGATCTACGGGAACCCTTAGGGATATAGGTCCTCTAAGTCTCATTCTTTCAATCTTCATTCTTCCAAATATTTACTGAGCACCTGCTATGTGCAGGCACTGTTCTAAGCACTGGGTTCAAGAAAGAAAGGGCCAGAAAGTACCTGCTTCTAGTCACAGAGTCGGTTTACAAACCAGCTGCATATCTTCGTGCCATTATTCTACAGAACAATAATCAAATGCCTTCAACATGCTCAGCACAGTGCTAGACGCAGGTGAACGAGGCTCTGGTCCAAGAAGTTCACAGAGGGGAAAAAAATGGTCAATAAATAAAGGGGAAGTGTTAAACCTTGCTGGTGTTTATTTATTTATGTGCGACTGTGTTCCAGAAAAAGATTTAAGGCTGCTTACAAGGATACATGAAACACAGCCAGATTGCATAAATTATAAGTAGGAGAGAAGGGAGAAAAAGAAAAACAAAACAAGAGTGAGGACTGAAATGGGGCCAGAAATGAGACTAGCACAGAGATAAATATAACTTCCTCTATGCTTGTAGCCTGGTGTAGTCACTGGTGTAGTAGCTGCTGCTGGGGCCCTGCCCAGAGTCCCTCAACACTCCTCTCTATACACCAAAGGATGCCCATTGCTACACCTGTGACTCTCTGAATGAGAGCTTTGTTCTGGCTGTGGAAGCACACCCGGCCAGCAAGCAGGATGTTCTGGAAGTCCCAAAGAGTTTATGTCCCTAGAAACAGCCCCACCCAGTGATGGATGGGTGTTGGTGGAGGAATCTCCTAGCTTCCTCTCCTTCCACTGAGATAATGTGAGGCCTGTTCTCTGCAGTCTCCCAGTGCCCCCGGGGATGCTGAGCTCCACTTGCCCGTAGCAGTCACTTGCTTGCCACATGACCTTTATTGGTTGTCTTCCTTTCTGTGTCGCACTTTCCCTCTCCCCATGCTGCTGTTTCCTGGGACCATCTCCCAAATAAACTACCTGCCCTTGAGTCCTTATCTCAGGATGGGCTTCTTGGGGAACCCAATCAAAATAGTTCACCATACCCTCCTCTGCTCTTTATTGTAGAGCTCCAGGCTCCTGCAAAATTCACTCCCTGTCAGAATCTCTGGGGATGCTCAGGAGGGAGTCAGTCACACATGCTCAAAAACAAGTCTAGTCATCTACAGTGTTTATGGCTTTTTCCTCCTTTTCTCCTGTTCTGGACACCCTCCCATTAACCAAGCATGCTGTTATTTCTGCTGATTATAACTATCTCGGTTGACTTCCATTTTATCCAAGAGTCATGTCCACCTTGTATTACTGAGTACCAACTTTCCTGCCAGGCACTGCTGCCTCCTATCAGGTACCAAATAGGTGCCAGGTGCCAAAGCAGTTTGATGTTCAACGGTGATGTTCAGTAGGAGGGAATGCCTCCCAACCACACCGTGTCCATCATGTGGATGAGATGCCAGAACAGCATTGTTTGGGGGCCAAAAAGGTTTTCATTAAACAACCTCCTTGGGCTTCCCTGGTGGCACAGTGGTTGAGAGTCTGCCTGCCGATGCAGGGGACAGGGGTTCGTGCCCCGGTCCAGGAGGATCTCACATGCTGCGGAGCGGTTGGGCCCGTGAGTCATGGCCGCTGAGCCTGCGCATCCGGAGCCTGTGCTCTGCAACGGGAGAGGCCACAACACTGAGAGACCCGCATACCGCAAAACAACAACAACAACAACAACAAAAAAAAAAAAACTCCTTAGTTTTTACTTATAGCCATAGCCACATAAAACTCAGACATGGTAAGTCCATAAGGACTGGTCATGAGAACTAATCTGAGTGACAGGTACACCACTCTTCTCAAAAATCACCCGTCCAAACTCTAGCCAAACATAAGTCTTGTTTTGAGACTAACTTGTTTGATCGTTTCTTTCCTTTTGATGAGTTATCTCCTGGGAGGTCCTTGGGCCGCTGGTGCCAAGATGATACATGCAACATGTACAAGGTGTCTTGACATATGGGATTATTAACTAAAATACTATTGAATATTGGAGGACATCTACCCAGAACAATCAGTTCTTAGGTCTTCTTTCTGGCAATTGTAGAACAGGATAGCTGTCCATTGAAAATACTACAAGATCATTTGTATGAGAAAAATGCATCTGGTTACTCTTGTGCTCCAAAACCATCAATGGCTCCCCATTACCCTTAAAATAAAATTTAGACTTCTTAACATGACCTACTGGCTGCTGTTGGCTCCTGCTTGCCAATCCCATCTCCTAACCCTTTCCCTTTTGCTCACCACATCCTAGTCTTATGACTTCCTTTCTGTTCTACAAACACATCAAACTCTCCCCCAACCCAAGGCCTTTGCGTCTGTTGTGTCTTCTGCCTGGACTGCTCTTCCCATGGCTCTTCCTATGTCTGACTCCTTTTTCTTCAAATGTCAACTCAAATGTCATCTTCTCAGAGAGACTGCCCAGTTACCTGACCTATATTAGAGACACACACACACACACACTCCCCACCATTTGATAAAGTTACTCTTTACCAAATCATTATATTAATTTTTTTCATAGAACTTGTCAGAATCTATGATTATCTTATTCATCGGTTTTCTGTCTCCTTTCACTGGAATGTAGGCTCCATGAGGACAGGCACCTTGTTTGGTTTTTCACTCCTAAACACTCAGCAGCAACCACAGTGTACACAATATCCACCCAAAATGTTGATGAGTGAATGTCCATAAACAAGGGCTTATTTTTCGTTTCTCAACAGCAGAAAGGCACATACGTTTGATTCATCCAAAACTGATGGTGTATCATGAAAGTATGAGTTGAAAAGCAGGGAGGTCAGCCAACATCCCTTATTTTTCCTCATTTAAAATATTTTAATGATTGTATCATAAGACATTTCCTAGTGATTCTGACTCTGTATGAGCAACAGTAACTGGCAGGAGAGGAGGAAAGCTTCATCAAACTCCCATAATTTAACCCATAACCAATTTCTGGTCCAGGCTAAAGCCTAAGGAAAGGTGAACAAAATTGGCAAACATTATTTCTAACCAACTTTTTCACATGATAGCAAAAATAAATATATAAAAGTTCATGGTAGATGCTCGGAAATTTTTTGGAATTAGTATTTAGTTTGAGTTAGATCTTTTGACTAACCCACCACTGTCCAATAGAAACGTAATGTGAGTCACATGTATAATTTAAAATTTTCTTGCAGCCACAATGAAAAACATAAAAAGAAACAGTTGAAATTAATGTTAGTAATACATTTTATTAAACTTAATATTTCCAAAATAGTATCATTTCAATAGGTAATCAATATTTTTAAAAAAGATAAAGGAGATCTTTTACATTCTTTTTTTTCATACTAAGTCTTTGAAATCTGGTATAAGTATAATTTTATACTTACATCATATCTCAGTTGGGATGATTAATTTGAATTGGAAATTACTGCTCTGTATTTAGATTTCAAAAATTTAGGCTTGAAAAAGCAGATTCATATACCCAAGGAATTCCAAACATACTTAAAAGTTTTTACAATAATGAAGTCAAGTATCAGTTTTAAAATTTAACATGGGGATTTCCCTGGTGGCACCACGGTTAAGAATCCTCCTCCTGCCAATGCCCGGGACACAGGTTTGAGCCCTGGTCCGGGAAGATCCCACATGCTGCGGAGCAACTAAGCCCATGCATCACAACTACTGAGCCTGTGCTCTATAGCCCGTGCACCACAACTACCGAAGCCTGCGCACCTAGAGCCCATGCTCCGCAACAAGAGAAGCCACCGCGGTGAGAAGCCCACGCATCACAACGAAGAGTAGTGCCCGCTCACCGCAACTAGAGAAAGCCCGCATGCAGCAACGAAGACCCAAAGCAGCCAGATAAATAAATTTATTTTTTTAAAAACTTAACATGGATATTAATGACTTTATGCTAAGTAAAAAAAAAAAGGCACAAAAGGTCACATATTGTATGATTCTATTTATATGAAATGTCCAGAATAGGTAAATCCATAGGGATGGAACATAGCTTGGTGGTTGCCAGGGGCTGGGGGGAGGGGAGAGGGAGGAATAATTGCTTAATGGGGTACAGGGTCTTCTTTTGGAGTGATGAAAATGTTTTGGAACTGGATAGAGGTGGTGGTTGCACAACACTGTGAATGTACCAAATGCCATGGAATTGTTCATTTTTAAATGTTTAATTTTATATTATGTGAATTTCCCCTTGATTTTAAAAATTGAAATTAATAAAATTTAATTAAAGTTACAACTTCAGTTCCTCCATCACACTAGCCTCAATCCAAGTGCTCAACAGCACTAGACTATGACATTGTACAGCACGGGACCAAGCTACTCTTATGCCGAGGCCAGGGCTTTTTAAATCATTTATTTCTGTGTTTACAGGACACAGCTTCCCAGCACTTACCAAAAGCTTTCAAGGTGAAGTGTCGCAGTTTAAGCTCCAGCTGGCAGCCACTGAAGTGTCACGTTTCTATTTCACAAGAGCTAGCCATGAATCTGATCGCTACTGTTCCACGTGATTAGCACGTTTGGGGTGACAGATCGTTAGGTCCGTCGCATTTCGGGGCATGTTGTGATTCTTTAATAGTTCTTCTGAAGGGCGCCAGGCATCCAGAAGCTTGTGGTCTGTGATAACGGTTTCCAGCAGCCTTCGCCTCCACGTAGCCAGAGGGGAGCAGAGGAGGAGTTGCGTCACAGAGAGCAGGCACTGTGCTAGTCATGACACACATGAAGAGAGCAGTTTAAATGATTGCGGGCGTAAAACCTTAAGAAACCCCGAGGATGGTTCATCTGCATGATCTGGTGAGCTCACCTGGCCCATCCCAAATGAATCCGAGCAACTTGCTCTTTTCTTTCAGCTCCCAGAGAGAAAGATCCACAATGATTCCTGTTTTCTCATTGCACGGAATCATACCTCTCCGGTATCAAGAAGTGTTTCTCTAAGTCTTTCTTATCAACACCTTTCCTCTTAGTTTACCTTTTAAACCTCGCAGCTAAGCCTGATTATCATTCAGTGTTGGCTGTTCCCTGAATATCAGGACACTTTACTTGGAAATATCTCCTTAGCGTTTTCTCATTTCTGATGCTTCTACACCTTAATATGATTATTCAGTTTGTAGACTGCCTGGACTTTTTCTTCTCTGTCTTTCTTGCTGCCCATTGCTTTTTTTCCCCCTCCCTCTTTTATCAGATTGGAGAGAAAAGTAAATCAAATTTTCACTGGTCAGTATTTTCTTGGCCAGTCCAGTAGTGGAAATGTATTCAGATTCTACCTTTCTAATATAGAAGTGAAAGCTATCACCATATATCTATACCTTTTTTTTTTTTTTTTTTTTGCTGTACGTGGGCCTCTCACTGTCGTGGCCTCTCCCATTGCGGAGCACAGGCTCCGGACGCGCAGGCTCAGCGGCCACGGCTCACGGGCCCAGCCGCTCCGCGGCATGTGGGATCTTCCCAGACTGGGGCACGAACCCGTGTCCCCTGCATCGGCAGGCGGACTCTCAACCACTGCGCCACCAGGGAAGCCCTATACCTCTTATTTATTCATAACACAGACCATGGGTAGTTGCTGACAAAAGTAACATCTTTCATGGATCCCTCAGAAGAAATGACAAATATTCCCCAATGAGCTGCTGTCCTTTGTACCTCTTTCAAGGTTAAACTTGGCTGTATGCAATGTCTTGCTCACAAAATTTTGACTGCAATTAATGGAAGTGTCCTATGGTTAGCATAAACCAAAAAAGAAAAACAGGGCGAGAGAGAAGGGGAAGCTAATGAAAGGATGCTGGGGGTATTTTGTGGCGTCAAAAGAAGAGCTGAACAACTACAATTTAGAAAAGGAAGAAACCAAGGGTGATTTCTGAGAATTCAGTAGCAGCTCATGAACTTTTTCTCCAGAGTACTGCCATCAACATCACTTTGTTCCAGGTCTCCTCTTACCTCATTCCTTTTTATTTCCAATTTCAGATTCCTGGGAGAGAGCCCAGGGTGGGTCAGGAGAACTTTAATAGACTTGATGCAAGAGAAAGATGAAACTAATGTTTAAGAGGGATGACATTTGATTTGCTCAAATGAGATAAAATATGTAAGGCGAATTGTGTTTTCCGAAGATGGCCACAAACATATCTTCCATCACACACACGATTCTGCAATGTGACCTTGTCACTCCCTTATCAAGAGTTGTTCTAATCCCTCTCCTTGAATCTGGGTTGCCTTAATGGCTCACTTGTAATCAACGCAAAAAGACAATACCAGTGACAAAAGTGACAACGCTCTTTGTTTCCCATTGTTAGGGTTAGCAGACAAAATACAGGACACATGGTTAGCTTTGAATTGCAGATAGATGACAAATAATTTTCAGATAAACAATGAATATGTCCAAATGGGACATACTTATACCAAAAATTGTTGTTTATCTGAAATTCAAAGTTAACTGGGATTATTATGTTCTAATTCTGGCAATCTTATCCAGTATCTATTCTCCCTTTCTTCCTTTTAGTAATAGTACCCACCCCACCCCCCACCCCAGGAGTTTTAGTCCAGATAGAGACTCTTTCCATGCTTCCGTTGCACTAGCAGTGGTCATGGGACTAGTTCTTGTCAGTGAGTGGAAGTGAAGTGTGCCACTTCAGTGGCTTGTCCGCTCAATTTCTCCCTTTCCCCCATTCCCACAGGATCAAATGCTGATGCAGTGCTGGAGAGCCAGCTTGGACTGTGTAGATACAGACAGTACCCACCCTGGTATGGCAGAGCAACAACACAGAAGGAACCTGGGTCCCCATTCAGCTTCCTGGAGCAGAGCTCCCTAATTTCCTTGGACCATCTCCTACCTATGGACAAGAATGTGAGAAAGAAGGGAATTTCTAATTGGGTTTGATACAGTAGCTTATTCATGAAATAATAGAGTTGGGATCAGAGTACTGGGTCTGAAAGGCCTTACAGCTCCTGCCTACAATCTAGTCATTTGGAAACCCAACAAGATCCAGTTTCCATACATTCAGAGAGCCTGACTTGGAAGCTTTTATCTGGATTCCCATGAGGCCTGGCAGCCTTTTGTGATCTCTGCCTTCCTTATTTCCATTCATATGCTTCTAGTAATATAAAAAAATTTCTCCCCTTTGATTCTGCAATTCTCATTTATATGTGTCCTTTCTGTCTTCCCTGCTAAATGTGGGCTCCATAAGGACCAGGATTCTTATCTCTCTCTCCACTGTTGTTTCATCAGCACCTGATGTGGTACCTGACACATAGGAGGTGCTCAAAGGAAGATGGGTGGTTGCATGGAGAGATGGATGGATGGATGAAAAACTAGACTGTAGCTTATAGGAAGGAAGGCTTTGTGGAATTTCTCTCTCAAGCTCTGGATTCCCTCTGTCTTGACATTCTCTGTGTCACTGTGACATTTGAATAGGCCACATTCCCTTTTTTATCTCTAGTTGTAGAGGGTTGCTTCAACAAAAGTGTTAAGTCAGGGAAATATGCCTTTAGGACCTTTCTTTTTAGTGTTTTCTATGATCTTACAACTTTCTTCCTAAGCACCCAGAGGCCTGATATTAGGAAACTTCTCTTTAACGTAATCAAAGATTCCTTTCCTCAGTTCCTCTAGAAAACAGAGACTGAGACAGGATTAAAGTGCTAACACCTTATTTAGGAGGTAAAACCCTACAGAGGTGAGGATGTGAAGAAAAAAAAGAGAGAGAGGAAGGAGGTGAGGAAAGGTGCAAAGCAATGTGATGCACTTCCGCGGTGGCCACCGATCCCAGTCGTCCACGGCAGGATGCTGAGGCTTGTTTGCTTGGCAGACAGTCTTTTCCAGAGGGGTCAGAAGAAAAACCACAGCTAAGAGCGGGTCTGCAAAGGGTAGGAAGGGGACTGGTTGTATCTGCTCTGCTCTCTCCCATCTCCTACTTCCCAGGGGTCAAGACTCATCACTTGGGAAACTACTTCCCTACACTTCCTGGTTGTGTAACCTGGCACCTTAAAGCCACCCAGGCTGGAAATTTTCCATGATATGGCACTGCATCAAAGCCAGAGGTAGAAAGACAACTCAATGTGGGTAGGAAGCTGATCAGGAGAGAAGAAAGAAGATAGTAGTTGAGGGAATCAGGAAAGGTTTATAAGGTACAGTTCCCCTGCATGACTCAGGTCCACTCATGCCCTTCCATAGGATAATTTCAGGCCACCATTGTATCTGTAAGAGACACATCACCCTTACTCTTTCCCAAAGAGGAGCAAACCAAGGTCAGTCAGATATAGAGCCTGTCTCAGGGAGGTGACAGTCATCAACTCCAGGAAGGCTGAGACAAGAGGATCAGTGACACAAGTTACAGTCTATGGTAGAAAGAATAATGCCCCACTCCCCAAAAGATATCCATGTCCTAATCCCTGGAACCTGTCAATATGTTATCTTACACGGTAAAAGGGGTTTTGCATGTGATAAAGTTGAGGACTTGGAGAAGGAAAGCATAGCCTGGATTATCCAGGCGGGCCCAAACTAATCACATGAATCCCTAAAATCAGAGAACCTTTTCCTGCTGTGGTTAAAGAGAAACACGACAGCAGAAGAAGGGTCAGAGTGCTGCTATACTGCTGGCTTTTACTGCTGGCTTTGCAGTGGAGAAAGGGGGCCACTAGCCAAGGAATGTGGGCAGCCTCTCAGAGTTGGAAAAGGCAAGGGAACAGATTTTCTCCTAGAG